CACACACACACACACACTGTCCACTAAAATCATCACACACACACACTGTCCACTATAATCATCACACACACACACACACACACACACACACACACACACACACACACACACACTGTCCACTAAAATCATCACACACACACACACACACACACACACTGTCCACTATAATCATCACACACACACACACACACACACACGCACACACACACACACACACACACACACACACACAGCGCTCTATAACAGATGTAGACAGTATATTCACAGATGCAGTGACGGTGTTGAGGACAGACAGATTGAGGATGCTGATGTTGATTGGCGGTGTGTGTGTGTGTGTGTGTGTGTGTGTTCAGCAGTTGTGCAGCACACTGAAGTCTCCGTGAGCTCACACACACTCTCTCTTATATTCCCCATGTCACTGCTCCTCCATATCTGAGCCTCCAGCTCTCCAGAGCGCACAGACAGCATCAGCAGAGATCAGCCTGAGTCTGGAGGCGCTGCTGACGACCGGCCTGACTGAGCCTGGACCAGTGTGTGTGTGTGTGTGTGTGTGTGTGTGTTCTGCTTTATAAAGATGTGCCGCTCTTCTGAACGCACCGCCGCCGTTTCTGTGGACACAGGTGCATTGTGGGACTGATGAAGAGCATCGCCCTAAACAAACAATACACTCCCTCAGACACCATGCTTGATGTGGTGTGTGTGAGTGCAGGAGGAGAAAGATACTTCAGATGTGGTGTGTGTTTGTGTGTGTGTGTGTCTGTGTCTGTCTCAATGTCAATAGAGATCTTTGTTTTGTTCCTCAGAAAGATCAATATCACCACAATCTGAATGTGTTTGCATAAATATCAACAGTAAAATGCAGAACACACACACACACACACACACACACACACACACACACACACACACACACACACACACACACACACACATTCATTCATGTCCATTTCTATAGGAGTTTTACAGTGTATATTGTGTCAAAGCACCTGACCATACATGAAGAGAAGGGTATAATATTGCAGAACACACACACACACACACACACACACACACACACACACACACACACACACACACACACTCTAGAGAGAGACTGAAACCTTCTGAGTGAGAATGAAAACCTCAGGGTAAAAACCGACACGCAACCTTGTACTCTCTCTCTCTCTCACAAACAAACACACACGCACACACACACACACACACGCACACGCACACGCACGCACACGCACACGCACACACACACACACGCACACACACACACTTTTGTTAACTAAACCTTCATGTAAAGCTTTGTGGAATTATTTTTTTGTGTATAACCATAATTTAATATTTATAATAATCATCATGATCTTCATCATCTTCATCATCTTCATCAAGGGTGATGGTAGTGTCCGCTTGATCAGCTCTTCTCTGTGTAAAGTGTTGATGAACTCAGTAACTCTGAGTGGTTCTGTGCACAGTGGAGCCCGCTGGGGTTCTGTCTCAGTGTTCTGAATATCATGAGTGTGTGACGGTGAACAGCTCAGGGAAACACACACACTCACTCCACTGACCCTCAGGTAGAAACCGTAACACACTTATTACCTCGGCCTTAGAACAGCAGGTGTGTGTCAGGACAGGGGTCAGAGGTCAGCAGGGGTCAGTGGTGATGACATTGTAGGACACACACACTCACACACACACTCCTTTATCAAGTGTGTCCGTGTTCGTTTTTATGCAGATTTATATATATGCAGATATATCCAGATATGTGTACATATAATGTGAGTTTAAGTGACGGCGGGTCTTCAGTATAACGCTAAATATAATGCTAAAGGTTATTCCTGTTCTCGGCTCACCGCATATAACGCCTGTGTAATGTAGAGTCTCGCGCTCTGATCACTGACGCACCCCTCCTGTGTGAGGTGGTTCACTCCCGCGCTGCAGGTTTCGCGGCATCGGCCCCTTTCATTTCGTGACGCGCCGCAGCGGCGGAATCTGCCGAGTTTTCCCGAATCTCTTCGTGAGGAAACCGAGCGCGGCTGCCGGAGAACAGACCGGCTCTGGCGGAGGACCGACCGGCTCTAACGGCTCCCGCTGCTGCTGCTGATGGAGGACGGATCGAGTTCCGCGGATAATTCTTTCTCGGTGTCCGGGTCTGATGAATCTCCCGCCGCTCTGCTGTCCGTCTCCCGCCAGATCTCCGCATTAATCTGATACTGAATCCGAGTCTGAGTCTGAGTCTACAGCCCATCACTGTTAGAGCACTGGATTACACTGCAGCGAGTCTGGAGGACAGTCACCAGGAGGACTATTACTGAGGAGCACTATTATTATTATTATTATTATTATTATTATTATCATTATTATTATTATTATTATTATTATTATTATTATTATTATTATTATTATCATTATTATTATTATTGCTGTTATTGTGGTTGACCCAGAGGAGTCCTGACCCAGAGCATGATGAAGTGTCGTGTGTGTGCTGGAGATCTGTGCGGGACCCACCGCCGCTGGATCTTCCACCCGTCCGCTAAGCTCAGCCTGCGGGTCCTGCTGTCCTGCGCTCTGGGTTTCCCGCTGCTGCGCGACGGACGCTGCGAGTTCACCTGCAGCAAATGCAGCTTCATGCTGGAGCGCATGTTCCGCTTCGACACCGTGATCGCCCGCGTGCAGGCGCTGTCCCTGGAGCGACTGCAGCGCCTCCTGCTGGAGAAGGAGCGTCTGCGTCAGTGCATCAGCGCGCTCTACAGCAAAAACAACCCGCAGATGGAGCCGCCGCCGCTGCTGCCCCCACATGCGGAGTACTGCGCCCTGCTGGAGGAGGACCTGCAGTACCGCATGCAGGAGTACTGGGCAGAGGACGAGGGCCAGTGTGCCCACAGCCCTCTATGCCACGTGTCGGAGCGGAGGTGCAGGACCTGCAGGGCGCTGCGCGTGCCCGACTCTGATTTCGAGGCCGTTTGCAAGGTGCCCCGGCGGGTGCTGAGGAGCGTGTCCTGTGGGCCATCCACACGGTCTGCCAGCGGCTGCAGGGAGGAGCGGGTGAGCGGGACGGTGCCCACACTGAGGCCGGAGTCCAGCTCGTCAGACGGGGAGCAAACGCTGCGGGAGCGGCAGAGCGCCGGGGGGTCCCTGGAGTCGCTGGACGCTCCGTTCACCGAGGGCCGAAGCGGTGCTACGTCTGTGGAGCCTCTGCCCCATGCTGGACTCCTGCTGGCACTGCAGGACTGTGGGTACCGGCCCGTGAGGAGCGCCCGCGGCAGCAGACTGCCCATCCTGACCGCTGCCGGCCTAACGAACGCAGGAGTACAGCCAGAGCGTAGGAGCCGCAGCGAGGAGCCGGAGCTGCAGGAGCTGGAGGAGTTGTGGCGCCCCCTGCTGGACGAGTACCGGCCCCTGTGCCCCCGCCGGACCCCCAAGGAAAAGCGCAGTGCACGGGTCAGCGCCGTCTCCTCATGTCCACCGTTCAGTGTTTTGGGTCTTTGAGATTCCGCAGAAGCGATGGATGAGTGTGTGATGTCTGCTGTGTGTGCGATTCTGTGTGTGTGTGTGTGTGCTCACACTGCCCCCCTGTGTGTGTCTGCGCGAGCGCATGACCTGATATTAATAGCAGAACCCAGCCAACACACACTACACACCCTGAAGCCCAGAGCGTTGGGGCCACACTGTCCTCAGATCAGCTGTGTGTGTGTGTGTGTGTGTGTGTTCTGCTGTTCTCTGGCGCTCACTGAAACACACTGATAGCCATGATGACTTTGTTAAATAGGCTAACAGGGAGAGCAGAACACACACACACACAAACAAACCACTGGCCCAGTTCTGTCATGAGGACCTCAAGGCCATACACACACACACACACACACACACACACACACACACACACACACACACACACACACACACACACACACACACACACACAATCTCTCTCTTTCTCACACACTCAGTGAAGCATGATAGATGATAGATGCACTCTTGCAGGCGCACGCACACACACACACACACACACACACACACACACACACACACACACACACACACACACACACACTGGGAGCGCGGCCGGCCTCAGGTGCTCCAGCATGAGGGATCTTCACTGAACTCAGATCAGCCTCAAGAGAAGAGGAATACAGCAGATGAAGGAGCAGTGTGTGTGTGTTAATGTTATACTGATGCGTGTGTGTGTATGTGTGTGTGCAGAGTCTGGTGGAACAGCAGTATGAGGACGCGGCAGGGCAGTGTGTGTCGGAGCAGCAGGTGGAGACGCTGCAGACGCAGATCACACACAGCCAGAACAGCAACCAGGTGAAGATCTGCTCTCTCACACACACACACACACACACACACACACACACACACACACACACACACACACACACACACACACACAGTTTGTCTATTGGCAGTTGACTCTTCAGTGAGCTGCAGCACAGTGCTGATGTGTGTTTGTGTGTTCAGTGTGTGTGTGTTCAGTGTGTGTGTGTGTGTGTGTGTGTGTGTGTTCAGTGTGTGTGTGTGTGTGTAGTGTGTGTGTGTGTGTGTGTTCAGTGTGTGTGTGTGTGTGTGTGTGTGTGTGTGTGTGTAGAGGTCTGCGCTGTGGTTAGTCTCGCTCCCGCTGTATATTCAGCCTTTGTTCTCCTGCTGCCCGACCCGCCCTGTTTTCTCCCTGACCCGACCGTTCCCGCCAAACTTAGATCTGGTTTCCAAAATCCAAAATCTCAGATAATTGGCAGAGAGCAGATGAGCTGCAGGCGTGCGGAGACTGCAGGTGCAGGTGGAGGCTGCTCTGAGGATGCAGATGAGCTGAGTGGTGAGTTCTGGCTGTGCGGGTCAGAG